CCCCCATCATGCTGGTGCTTTGATCTCCCTTGAGCGGGAATGCCCCCTTCTTGGCTCCAAGAAAAGAATTCTCTGTGCTGTATCTTCAATAAACTGCATTGTGTTTCAGACATAGTGGCGGGTTTCTCTCCGGTTTCCCAGCGCTGTGGGTCTGATCTTAAATACCAGTGGGTCACCGAGTCCCTTCTGCAGGGAGAGCCCTGGACCGAGCCAGGAGGGGGGCAGGCCTAGGCAGGAGGCTCTGAGGGTGCCCAGGCTGGAGGTGATGGATGACACGGAGCAGCTTGCTCAATTGATGAGATTTGAATGCATAAAAATTTCGCTACATTTGAAAGAAGTTGCTGTTAGATCTATTTCCTTGCTTTTGAGAAACTCCACATGTTTGAAATTGTCCCGCAATTACAGCTCATTAGAATCAAATGAATGGCTGATCATCAAGTATTTTTGAAAGCAATTGTAAGTTTCAAGAATACAAAAATGAGAGGTTACTCCCCCCACCCCCAAACCCACAGACTTGCTAGAACACGTTTGGGTGCCGGACCGGGGAGACCCCTCTGAGCCAGGCACACACTGGTGGGAGAAGCAAGATATGACACACCTGGGAGCTGGTGTGGGCTCGGCTCTAGAGCACAGCACAAGGCAAGTGACAGGGAGCATGGGTTTCCCAGGGAGCGCTGCGGTGTTTACACTGTACTGCAAAGTGTGCAATAGCATTATATCATTTTTTAAAAAGCAAAGGCTATCACTTCATTGGAGAAAACACTTACTTGCTAAAAAGGGAGCATGAAATGAGGGCCAGCTGGAGGCAAATTGCTCGGGGCAGGGCTGCCACAGAGCTGCCTGTCGGAGGGGCCATCTCTGCCCAGTGCCATGGAGCTGGTCTGCGCGAGGCTGGCAAACCACAGTCCTACGGCGCCTTTGTCAACACGGGCCTCGTTAGGATAAAGGACCGGCCAGGTGTGTCCATAAACAGAGACCAGGAGGCCAGAGGCCAGGAGGCCGGCGCCAACCTCGCCGCTCTTAGTGGAGGCGCCGGGAGAGGTCATCAGGATCTCGGAAAAGCACACAGCTGCAGCTGCCACAGAGAATGTTCAGCTCCAGACTGGAGGGTCCTCTGATTCCTGGGCTCTGAGCGAAGCCGAGGGCTGTTCCAGACTGCTCTCAGGCTGCAGCCTGCTCTCCCGCCTCTGGCCTCCCCTCTCCAAGCAGGCCCAAGGGCGCCTCACGCCTGCGGGCACCATCCCAGGTCTCTCGTGCTCTTCCCACCCCGGTTTTGACCCCTTTTCCTCCTGGAAAATATAGTTTGGTGGATAGAAAATGGTGTGTGTTGTGGGCAACATAATAGTCTCTAGGCAGATGCTCCCTTGCGATTTGCTTGGCCCTTTGCTAATGGCATTTTATGAATTCTCGTGTTATCTTCATAGAGGAGGCCAGTGTTAAATCCCCACCCTGCCCAGAGCTGAGGCTGTGGGCCAGCACCCCAGGCAGGGTCTATCAGAGGTCCGGGGGGGGGGGGCGGGGGGGTTCCCCCACGTTGGTCTTCTCCAGGCTGCAGGAGTGCAGAGGCTGCTGGAGTGCAGAGGCTGCTGGATTCCGCACAGGGCCTGAGGTTCCTTTTCGGATTGGGAGGGGGATCCCAGCCAACTCCTAGCTCTCGCGACCTCTGCCTATGACCTTGGCCTCGTTCTTTCCTCTCACTGTAAATGCTTCCTTGGCACATGTGAAGGCACTGGGCTCATGGCCTGCAACACCTCTGCGGGCCTGGCAGCCTAGGCAGGGAGGACGGAGGGCCGAGGGGTTGGGAGCCGAGGTCAGGAGTTCCATTCAGTTCTGGGGTGCCCTCCCTGCCCCCCCGTCTTGTCATGGCCACCCTCTGCTGCCCGGGGGGCATAGAAGCTCACCTTTGGGGAGATCACAGTCCTTCTCTGTGCGAGGCTGCCAGGATGCTGCAGCCCTGTGGGCCGGGGGGTGAAATTTCCCTCCCTCCCCCACCCTCTACTGCCGGCGCACCTGCCTGTTGCTCTCCGTGCGCCATCTGAGACCTGGAGATGCAGGGTGAGACGCAGAGCAGGGTGTGGGGCTGCCCCGCCAGCCACACCCGCCCCCCGGAGCCTGCCTCTTGCTGCCTGAGCCCCTCTGGTGGCTGAGAACTGCCCTGGGCCTGCTCTCTCGGCAGCCCAGGCTTTCGGCAACCGAGGACTAGAGGGCGAGCTGGTGACTTCCGCTGTCGTTTTCAGGCGAGTCCTGGGGCAGGTAGGGACCCACGGTTGTCCGGAGACCCTGGCCCTTGGGGGCCACGCGGGCGCTGGAACCGGAAGGCCTGGACTCCGCCTCTGTCCCTCCGCGTTCAGCTGTGTCCGGACAAGCTCCTCATGCCTCTGCGGTCTGCCTCTCCCCCTCTGCCTGTGAGCACCGTGGAATTCCTTCCTTGTGTTGGTTTTGCACGTAAGGAGACGTGCCAGTGACAGGCCTAACCCAGCGCCAGGCCCGTGCCGGCACCTGATAAAGAGCTTCATGCCGATGGTGGCCGGCGCTCCTCTGTTGCCTGGCACTGAGTGCAACCTCCAGAGGTCAACTTGTTCCTCCTCTACCTGAGCTGGGGCAGACACTTGCCAACCTGGCTGCTCATTAAACCACCCGAGACCTTCAAAAAAATGCCCAGGCGCCAACCACACCCCAGATAAGTGAAACCATGGCCTGTAAGGTGAGCGCCACCCCAGCAGCTGAGGGGTGTCTTTTAGGGATGGTAATTTGTTCCAGAAGCCTCCTTCCCTGTCCAACAATGACCTGAGGGTAAATACCTCCTCTCGGACAGGTCACATCTCCCTGCTTCACTGACGCGCCGACTTTTGTCTTGCTTCACTGTAAGCCAGTTTCCTTTTGCCACGAGGGAGGGGAGCACCCTCAGCCCCGACGCTCAGTCGAGCATATTTGCCAGAAATCCCCCATTGGACGCTGGCCACTGCTCATCGCCAGTGACCGAGGAAGCTTTGTGGACTGTGCTGTCTGGGGCGTCCTCTTGTGTTTGATCACACGTGGCTACCCCCATGCTCCCCCTGCACTGGGTGGAGTCCTGCACCTCCCCGAGACCTCTGCACCCCCGTGGCTCAGCCAGGCTCACTCCCACCGCTCGCCAGCCCTCCCGCTGGGCGGGGCGCTCTCTGCCCGCAGCCCTGTGCCCACGTGGCCTCTCCCTTGCCAGGACACGGCTGCCCTGGTCGCCCACCGCAGAGCACGCCCGGTCTGACTCTACACCCTTCAGGAGAGTTTGCGCTCGGTCCCTGCCTCCAGGAACGTTCCTGCTCCTTTTAACGACTCTCCAGCCCTTGGGGTCTCAGCGCCCTCCGCGTAGCTACAAATGCCATCGATGGTGTCAGCGATCGTTTCGTGATGTTGGCTGGGTGCGCGTTGTGCTATGCGCTTTAGCTATCGAGCGAGTAGGAGCCAGAGAGGCTCAGGAAGCTGCCTGCCCACGCACAGGGGTCCATGCTCTAGGCTTCTCTGGCTCCCGTGGGCCCGTCTCCCGGGCACGCCCTTGGGCCTCTGCTCTTGGCGCGCAGCCTGCAATGTGGCAGGTGCTCAGGGGAGCTAAGGGGCCCCCGGCCCATAAAGAGTGGCCCCAGCATCCAGGGTGCCTATATATTTCGTGGGTAGTGGAGACTGATGTGAAGGGGTCGAGCGCCGTGTGTTCTTCATGATGAGAGCTGCCTTGCATGATGCGAGGCAGCCTGGCAATGGCGGGGGGGGGCGCGGGAGGAGGGGGTGCTCCCAGGGCCCAGACTTCTCAGGGGCGCTTTGTGAGGGCTGTGGGCAGGAGCCCTACTTGCTTGGCGCTGCAGTTTCCATCGTGCTTTTCTGCACTTGGTCTCACTAGTCAGTAACGTCAGCCGTGAAGCCGCGCCATTATTTTTATTTTGTAGGCCAGGAAACCGAGGCTCACAGAGATAAACCACCAAGCCTTGGGGTCAACAAGGGAAGGGCCAGGATTCAGAGCCCAGCCCAAGGATCTTCCCCCACAGCTGCTCCTGGCTCGGGGCTGCCTCCTCTCCCCACCGCCCTCTGCCTTCCCTCTTTGCCTGGGCCCAGCCTCCCGGAACCCTGGCCTCCAGCGACACTCTTCCACTGACCCAGCCTACTCCCAGCTCCTTCCCTTTCTTCCTCTGGCTCTGCTGGTTTTCTCCTTAGCTGCCGGTCTGGAGGTTCCCTCTCCTACCCAGAGTTCCTGAGGGGTTGGGCCAGGACGCTGCTCCAGGACAGCTGTCCTGACATGCCCGGGACTGTGCCCATTTAAATATGGAGAGGCTCAGGCCTGGCCTGGACTGCGGATAGCTGGAGTACACTCGCTCAGGGTATCTAGCGCCCTGTGCTTTTCCGTGTGCCTTCTGGCATCGACTCACTGACAGACACACGCTCAGATTCCTGTCAGGGTCTGAGGCTCTGGAGTAGGCGGTTTGCCTTAGCCTACAGGCCAGGAGAAGCAGGGGTGGGGGCTGAAACCAGTTCTTGTGATGTCAACTCCCGCTTCACCTGCTCCGCTGTCCTGGTGTCTCCTGGAGACGCTCTAAGCAGAGAGAGCAGAGGTGGAAGATAAGAAGGTGTGGAGGTTCGGCTGCCCACGGAGCCCCTCCCGGGCCAGGACGCCTTCTCACTGCCCAGTGCTCTTTCCCACCACCCGCCTCTTGGCCTCCAGAGCTGTCATGTTGTTGGCAGCTGTGATTTCAGCCCCAGCTTCTGCAAAAACAAAAGTACTTAGAACAAAATGCCAAGGAAAACACGGAGCAGAGGCCTCTGAGTCTCCTTGTAGCGATCACCTTCTGTGTGATTTTCTAAGTTGCCTCTCTGCATTCTGAGGTTTCTGAGTTCACAGCTGAGATACTGTTGGGTGTTTAGCTTCTTATGTTTCACATAATATCAGTAGTTTTTCCAATGCTGCTTCATGGTCTCCATGATAATAATTTAAAATAATTCTATCCCAGTGGGCAAGCTACTATGTAGGCCTGGCATTTAGGGCTTTAATCCCCAAGTTTGAGAAAGTTATTATCAAGTTTCCTGTGAAACCCATCAGCTATTTGGGTCTGGGGGCGCAAATCACTTTCTTGTTGACGGACACTGACGCTTCAGCTCGGGCACTGAGGGGGTCTGGCGCTCCCCAGAGGCTGCACCCCCTGGCCAATGCCTGTCCCGCGCCTTGGTCCTGCTTTGAGATGAGGCAGATACAGAATTTGAGAATAGCCACTTAGGAACTTACTGAAAAACACTTTCCCTGTTTAGCAATGGAATGCTTTTCTGCTTGTTGGATCTAATACAAAAAATTAGGGCTTGTATTTTGTACTTGTTGCTTAAATCTGTTTTGGAGTAACTCATTCTATTTTATTTTACTAAACCAGTGGTCAATAGCAGATTGGAAATGAAGACACACAAGACATTTTGAGAAAGTCTGTCTTCCGGTCAGGGACGCTTAAGCACGGAGGGGTCCGGGTGAGGGGTGCTCAGTGAACCCACAGTCAGACACTTCGGCGCACCAGCCTGCATCTGCTTCTGAAATGCTGGGGCCTGCTGAGCGCCCCCCCCGCACCCCCCCAGGCACCCAGCAGAATGGGGCACTCTTGAGCACAGCTTCCCAGCTTCCACTGGCCTGTGATGACCACAACCCCGTTTTAATGTTTAAAGTTCGGGGTACGCATGGTGACGCTAACAGGGGGGAGCGGCGCTGGGTGTGGGCAGGTCACAACAGACCTTTTCTCCCACCGCAAGAACGCTGTGGTGGCAGAAGTCTCCACCCTCGCTCCACTGTGGTCCCCACGGCACCCAGACAACCCCTAGCTATCCCCTAGATCTCCTGGGCACACCCCAAAACAAACAACTTGGTGGTGGAGTTTCTTAGGAAGATCTCAACAAGTCATCTGGGGGAAACTGCACAGGAGTTTCCAGCAACGCGCTCCAGACAGATTGCTGTCCTGCCATCTCCGAGTATCAGGAGATGACTGATAAATAATCAAGTTGGGGAAGTTTGTCTACGGTGCAATTTCGGCAACTCATAGGTGTGAGATTTAAACAGATGCTGCTGGCAGGCATCTAAACACCACTGCTCCCCGCCCAGTGCTCGAAGCTGCCCAGCCCAGCCGCGGCGTATATATAGGGACGAGCCAGGCCTCCCGTCAAGGAAGTCAGTGTCCTTCTCGGTCCTTCTCAGGCCTCCCGTCAAGGAAGTCAGTGTCCTTCTCGGTCCTTCTCGGTCCTTCTCGGTCCTTCTCAGTCCTTCTCGGTCCTTCTCGGTCCTTCTCGGTCCTTCTCGGTCCTTCTCGGTCCTTCTCCTTCCAGGGGCCCTTTCTCTTGTCTGCTTCTCTGGATGCACCAGCAGCCATGAGCCGCCAGTTTAGTTCGCAGTCGGCGTTCAGCTCCCGGAGCAGGCGGGGTTGCAGCTCTGGCTTCTCTGCAGCCTCTGGTGGCGGGAGTCGGGCTGCGAGGTTTGTGTGTCACGGCCAAGGGCGGTGGGGTGGTGGGGGCTCTGCAAGGGGGTTTACCTCGAGGAGCCTCTACAACCTCGGTGGCAGCAAAAGCATCTCCATGAACCTCGTGGGCAGAAACGCCAGTGGTTTTCGCCAGGGCGGGGTCTTTGCAGGGATCCGAAATTTTGGGGGTGGCAGCTTTGGAGGCGGTGGCTATGGAGGAGGCGGTTTTAGGGGCTTTGGGTTTGGCGGTATCAATTTTGGGAGCTTTGGTCCTATGTGTCCCCCCGGGGGCATCCAAGAGGTGACCATTAACCAGAGCCTCCTACAACCACTTCACCTGGAGGTGGACCCTGAAATTCAGAGGGTCAAGACTCAGGAGCGGGAGCAGATCATGGTTCTTAACAACAAATTCGCCTCCTTCATTGACAAGGTGAGTACCTCGGGGCGCCAGGGCTGCTGGTCTCTGACCACAGAGCCCATGGGGCTTGCGGCCTGCACTGCTC